TACAGTTTGGGAGACAAGGATGCACAGGTGGTTGTTTTTTCAGTTCGAAGGCTGACTGTTATATCTCTTGATCCATTAGCTTATTAATGATTGCAAGATGGAGTGGAGAGGGAGCGCTTGTGTATTTTGTTGGTAGAAACTGTGTCACAGTGAATTTTAGTTAAGCTGCTTGAATTGGACGTCAAGAACTTGATTAGGAGGCAGTGATGGATTTGGAATTTATGATAATTATTTATTTATCTTGATGTTTTGAGATTGCATAAATATGTCAGGAGCAATTTCAGGGTTGCTAATTGCTTAATTTGTTTATTGTAGATACCTCTCATGTGGAGCTTGGGCGGGAAAGCTATTTTGCTTGGTTATGATCATTGACTTTCTGTTATGGCACCTGTTGCAACTATGGAAGGTTGTAAACTTTATGTGCATGGTATTTGGGTTTCCACATTAATTTGTTTCCCCTTTTTAATTATATTCCTTTCATTGTCCATTAGCCTGCAGAGGATATTGAAGAAGTGCCCGATTTCGTTCTATCCCATGATCAAGATGAAGGGATCTCGCAGGACAATGAGAACCAAAGCTTGAGATGATTGCATTTAAAAATTGGAATTGTTCCCTTCATTTACAGCATGAGGATGAAATGGATTGACCTGATCTCTTTTTTATGTTGTTTTCACTTGGTTGGTAGTATCAAATTAGTCCTGTATGTAGTGAAGATTTTGTCAAGAGGACTTAAAGATGCTTGTCTGTTGCCTGCATGGCAACTTTCGAACAAATTTTGGCTGGAATTTGGCCAGATTGGCTACTTTCTTTCAATTGTTTAGAATTACCTTTTAGATTTCCTCACACCAAATAGTGTTGAGATTTTCTATATTTATACAGAGTATGAATCAGTTACAGAAATTCAAAGAGCTGATATCAAGGAGATGTTACACTTGCTATGATCAAGGAAAGATTACAAAATAATTACAAGATTCATAGGAAGGAAAGACTACAGCTGGTGCTAATATCATGGGTGATCTGCAGCTGTTACAGCTGTAAAATTTTGGCCTTGGTGTTGGTGACGACATAGCCCGGTTTTTGTACCTATTACTCATCCTATTTCAATAATATACTATTGCCCTTCTTTCAAAAAAACGAAAATGATCCTTCCAGTTTCCTATGATTCTCGAAGGTCGAAGCCTCTTGGTTATTTTGTTTTCCTTAGGGCAGAGATTCCACTGGAGCATGTACTTTAAAAGCCTCATGAGGTCACGCTCTGTCCTTAAAAATTCAACCTTAACCTTAGTGAAGAGAGGATGTAATGCAAACGCAAAATGCAGGGCCTACAAACTTGTGTCTGGCCAAAAGAAGATAAAGAGGATGCATAGCAAAATCCAAAATGTACATGGCAATTGACAGGTTGGGTACGTGGAGCAAGCCTAAACACTAAACATGAAACAAGCTGACCTCTAACCGTTGGTTGAACGTTCATCTATGGCCGCCATGTGAGCTTTGTATGTCACGCTTGACACTTCATCAGTCCATTGCTCTCTCTGTCTCTGTCTCTGTCTCTGTCTCTCTCTCTCTCTCTCTCTCTCTCTCTCTCTCTCTGTCCTTCGTATCAAAGCCATCGCAAGCATTACCTCTCCCGCTCTGTCTGTGTCAAAATTGGATTTTCCATTTTTGTCCTCTCAGAGAAACATAACTTTCAGCAAGGAAAACCTTCATCAAGTTAAGATGCCTCGTAGGATGTCTAAGTTTTCTGGGTTTGAATCAAATGGGTTTATCTTATTTTCTTCTTTGAGTGGTCAAATTGGTGAGGGCAGCTTTCCTAGTCCAGAAGCCACTGCGAACAACAATGCGCCTGAGGTCCAAGTTCAAAGCAGGTACCATGCTTTCAGTTCCTCTCATGCTCTAATAATCCTTTATATTGGTTTAGAGTTTTGCATTGTTCTAAGTTTCTGTTTGGTTTTAGAAAGTAGGAATTCTTGAAGTAACTGTGAAGTCCTTCATATCCGGTTCTGGGTTTTTCTTTCAAGAGATGTATAGAAAGAACTTTCCTCTGGTTTCTAGGGAACCAAGCGGGACTTTGGGGATCAAATTTTATGTCTTTAAGTTAGCTATCCTGCCCTTCATACGAAATTTAGTGAGTAAGCTGTTTTTTTATTAAATTTTCTATAAGGTTAGACTCTAATTTAGCTTTATACTCTATGGATCATACAATGCATGGTTGTGGAAAAATTGGCATAGTGGTGTGAAGCGATAAAAGATGCGACAGAGGATAGCTGAGGGGGAAATGAAAATTTGGATGTGAGAACCTCAAGTTGGAAGTCTCATAAAGACTACATCTTGCCATCTTTCTACAAACACTCCAATTTCCACTTTATTTGGAATCTCCTGATTTCTAACTGAGACATGGAGTGGGAGTTGCTCATGTGCTTTTATAGAGTTGTGCTTTTGATTCCCACTTAATATATATGAACCAATATAGTTTTAGTGATCAGCTAATGAGAATAATTTGGATACTCATGTTGCTTGTTGCCTGAAAGAGTTTTTCTATTTTCAGTGGCTATTGTATCATTGATTCTTTATTTCGTGTTAATTGATATAAGTATTTGGCATATTTTTTGGCTGACAATGGGTTTAAATTAATGATTGTCCTTCTTACTTTCTAGTGTCATTTTCCTTTTGTGTGTTGTAGTATATGGAACTGGAGGGGTTATTCTATCCGCTATCAGCATGCTGGCAACAGTGGCCTGGCATTAGTATTAATTCATGGTTTTGGAGCAAACAGGTCTACATCATGCGCACATTACTTCTCATTAGCAGACAACTAATTGCTATAGGTATTACATGCGCAAATTGCTATATACAGTCATGTTTTACACACACATGCATGAGACATATCCATTTTTCTTAGTTGTACGCATAGTATGAACTTCATTAAATTTGAAAAATTAAATTTACTTATGTAAGGTTTTGCACTTTTAAGTTTGTCGCTTACTTATCTTGTAGATAGTTGTGAAAGAGTTAAGTCCTTGCTAATTAGATTTAATAAGTCAGATCATAGCTGCTGAAACTGTTGTTAGTGCTTAAGATAAGGACCCATGAACAGACCAAACTCTAATCTTTCTGGGTTTTGGTGCAATCTAGAAGCTAAAGCTTCATTTTTGGGCTTTGTATTCCCCACAATTTTTGAGTTTTCATGCATAACTTGCATTTTAAATGTTCCCAGACTATTTGCAAGTTTCACACTTTGCCATATGTTTCAGAGTTTTGTTATATGATCTCTTTCATTCCATGCTTAACTTGTCAAGGTCAGTACCTATGAAACACTTGTTATTCTTTACAGTGACCATTGGAGGAAAAATATTCCAGTTCTTGCAAAATCACATAGGGATACTCAATTGATCTTATTGGTTATGGGTACTCAGACAAACCAAATCCTCGTCAATTTGGGGAAAGTTCCTTTTATACATTTGAGACATGGGGCACCCAGCTAAATGACTATTGTATTGATGTGGTCGAGGATGAAGCATTCTTTATATGCAACTCTATCGGAGCTGACCATCTCTCTCTCTCTCTCTCTCTCTCTCTCTCTCTCCTTTTGGTATGAGTTGTAAGTTTTTATGCTTAACTAGTTCTGGCTAGTGATAAATGAAAAGGATCAAGAAAAAAAAAACATATAATTAATGTTGTCTTTGTTAATCTAATGGCACCTGTGAGGCTGTGAAAAGATCCTGTGATAGGATATTATGCTTTCCATCATGTGTTGGTTAGATAGTGAAGTCTTGGATCCGAAGGAGGTCACCATTAAAGTTCATTTTTTGGTTACTTATGCTGCAATAAACTTATGAAAGAAATATTTTGGTAAAATATACTGCCTTTGCTTTCTTGTGTACCATCTTCTAATACGCTGGGTTTAGATTCAGATATCAATATTTCCCATGGTGATAAGCCATAATCTACAATGTTGATGCGATACTTCTATATGATTCTGCTTATTACTAAATGGAGCCCTTCTGATTTAGAAACTATTTCTTTGAATGACATCAACAGAGACATACCCTTCTGAGTTTTTTTGGGTCTTCACACAGGACTTGTTGGTCTTCAGGCAGCAGTTATGGAGCCACAGTTATGTAAGGGCGTAATGCTCTTAAATATTTCTCTTCGTATGCTTCATATTAAAAAGCAGCCTTGGTACGGAAGACCAATGATTAGATCATTTCAGCACTTACTGAGGTAAAGCTGGATTAAATAGTTTGTTTGTCATGTTAGAGTTCTTTAGTGTAAACATAGAGTTCAAGTCATGATGTTGTGGCAGAAATACTGATGTGGGCAAATATCTGTGAGGAATATCCTTTGCCAGGTATCTTACAATATCGACATATTTATTTTTGATAAGCTGCTAATATTGAAGTATATAAACCAACATTATCTGACTAGCAAAGATAGATTCATAGCATAGTACAAATTACGAAAATGATTTTTTGCAAATAGTTAAAATTTGGAATCTTTTCAATCCATCCACATAAGTCTTTCTGGATCTTAATTGGTATAACAGACACTTGAGCTATGATATGTACATATTCACTCTAAGTGGGAATCTAGCTTGAATGTCACTGTGGTTGCCTATGGTGGTGTGTGTTTGTTAAGCTGTTATATCCAAATTATCTTGTTTTTATAGAACCTAAAAAACTCGTGAACACACTTACATTAGTCCAATCTAAACTGGTACTGAGTAGAGAGCTGTTAAAGGAACGCGCCCCACGCAGAAAAAGCAGAAGATCCACCTCTGTCAATGGGATTTAGCTAGTCGTCCTAAGAACAAGGGGGGTTTGGGTTTTAAAAAAACTACTGCCATAAATCAGGCCCTTTTGGCTAAGGTCGGGTGGAGATTACATAAAAATGACAAGGGCTTATGGGCTAAGATCTATGAGTCTAAGTATCTTAAAGGGAAATCTGTCTTAGATTCTTCTTTGATGTTTCGACAGGATTGCTCTACCACTTGGAAGGGTGTTATGTATGGGGTGGAGTTGTTAAGGCAGGGAATAGGTTGGAGGGTTGGTAAGGGGGATACTACTAAATTTTGGAAAGACAGTTGGCTTATTGATGAGCCTTTGTTGAAGCATGCTGGGGTCTTGCATATTGAGGATTTAGATTGCTCTGTTTCCAATTTTTTTAAAGATGGGTGGTGGGATTTGGATAAATTACGAAGAGCTTTAACGGAAGATCTTGTTCAACATGTTGTTAATTATCCTGTGGGTTTTTCTAGTAATTTGCAGGATTGCCAGATTTGGAAAGGAACTGCCAATGGAGTTTTTTCTGTAAAAACCGCTTACAATCTATTCTTTAAAGGTCCCTCATGGCCTGATTATAATTTTAGTTCTTTGTGGAGACTAAAGATACCGCCTAAATTGCAGATCTTTGCTTGGCTTACTGCGCAAGGTAAAATTCTGTCCAATGTGCAAAGGGTTAGAAGACAGCTGACTTTTGATGCTTCTTGTGGTGCTTGTGAGTGGCCTATTGAAACTACATTACATATTCTTCGTGATTGCTATAAGGCTAGAGGTATATGGAATACTGTTTTAATGCCTAGCCATCATGGCCATTTCTTTCAAATGGATTTTCTGCCTTGGTTTCAGACTAATCTTCTCTCCCAGGCAGTTTGGTGTAGTAATATCCCCTGGAGTCTGGTGTTTATCTTTACTTGTTGGTATGTGTGGAAATGGAGAAATCACCAAGTTTTTCAAGGGGATGAAGATGTGCCTTTTGATCCTAAACAACTTATTGTTCGTGCTGTCCATGAGTGGTTTAAGGCTTCTCATGTCTTGAGTAAGCATAATCATAAAGTCCAGATTGATCTTAAGTGGGAACCTCCTATTTCTGGCCAGTTCAAGTTAAATGTTGATGGGTCTAGGAGGAATGGCTCTGGACATATTGGTGCTGGAGGTGTTATTAGAAATTCCTCTGGAGATTGGATCAGTGGTTTTGCTGTGAACTTGGGGAAGGGGCAAATTCTTGAGGCAGAAATTTGGGGATTATTTTTTGGGTTGAAGCTTGCTGTGGACAAAGAGATTGATAATCTTGTTGTTGAAATGGATTCAGCAATTGCTGTCCAATTGATCCAGAAGCAGGGCCTTACTGATGTTCATCCTCTTGCAGCCTTAGTTGCTAGCTGCTGGGAGTTGATGCATATGATCAATTGCTGCAGTGTTTATCATGTTTACAGAGAGAAAAACTGTGTTGCTGATTGTTTGGCGACCTGGAGCTATAACTTAGACTTGGGTCTTTTTATCTTTGTTGATGCTCCAGCTTGGGTTGGGCCTAGTTTGATCGATGATTTGCTAGGAATTACTAGATCTAGGCTAGTTCCTACTGATTTGCTGGTGTAAGTTGTTTTTGGGGTTTTTGCCCCCTTTTTTTTTTTCATCAAAAAACTCGTGAACACTTGCACTCTTCCCTTTTGTTTCTTTGTTTAGGTTCACTGATACGAATAATTGCATTTCAGTGCTACCATGACACCTCCCAGGTAACAGAGGAACTAGTTCAAAAAATCCTTCTTCGAGGACTTGAGCCCGGTGCTGTAGATGTATTTCTGGAGTTCATTTGTTACTCAGGTGGCCCCCTTCCTGAGGAACTATTGCCTCAAGTGAAGGTTAGTGTCTCAGTAAACTTTTACAGTATCCTTACTAACCACTCACACCAGTCAAATTTACTATTACTAATGCATCAAGTAGCTTCAAGTTTTTAATTTTTCTTCTCTGTACAGTGCCCTGTTTTGATAGGATGGGGTGAGAAGGATCCATGGGAGCCCATTGAACTTGGATGTGCCTATGGGAAATTCGATTCTGTAGAAGACTTCGTTGTTCTTCCTAATGTCGGCCACTGCCCTCAGGTCTCTCTCTCTCTCTCTCTCTCTCTCTCTCTCTCTCCCTCTCTCCCCCCCTCTCCAAGGTTTGCGTATATGACGGCTATTGAAGTTTTTTTAAATGTTTGAAAAGATGTATGGATGTATAATGTGGTTTTGTAGCACATGCTAAAATCTGGCTCGGAGAAACTGGTTTCTGTTGTCTTGGGGATGAAAGATTAGATCAAGTGTATAAATAGGGAAAAGAAGTGCTAGCGCCCAACCATAAGCAGATATAATATTAGTATGAATTCTGATAACTTTCCCATTGACAACGAACGCTGATTCATAACTTGTTAATGTTCCTGATCCTGAAGGATGAAGCACCTGACCTAGTGAATCCACTGGTCGAGTCATTTGTGGCACGCCATGCTGCACTTTCCAGCATTTCCACGGCTACCTGATCCGTGGCATGTCAGTTTGTTGCAGTTTCTTTGTACAGCAAAGGCCATTGCTAGTCAAAACTTAATTCATATGCCCCAGAAGAAGCAGCGGCTTACAAACAGTATTGCCGATGCTTTTGATGTTCTATTGATCCATAATGTGGCATCCGAATAGAATGTTACGAGTACTTGGTATGGCACCATAACTAGTTTTATACTCTACTTTTTATCAGGAATACCAAGTTTCTATTAGGTTTTGCTCTTTGTAATCACATACTAATGACCGTGTAAGACCTCTTTAGTTAGTGATGTATCAGCTTCACATTGAGGAATACTTTGTATACGTTTTACAATCACATTGAAGGATATATACGTATTGATCTTGTCTCATATATTGCTATGGTACGTCATCTTATTTCCAATACATTGTTGACAATGATGATTTGAACACTTGAGAGTTGAAATCATGTTTAGAATGCAAATGGTGCTTAGTTAATTGATTTACTGTTTTTGTCCAGTAAAAGCATGACATTTTGGGTTGTGACATGTTTATCATTTTGGTTCAAATGGTCTCTCTCTCTCTCTCTCTCTCTCTCTCATATGTCTGCATTCATGTGGGGCTGCAGTTCTTAATCTCACTGTTTTGAACTCAAGGATACATCAGACAGAATAACTAAATGCCCACTACACTCATTACATCAATAATTAGAAATACTTATTTTGGTTTAAATACATAATGATGAGATCTTGTACATAAGCAGGAAGATTGACCCTTGTCTTTTTTGCTTGCTTTTTACTGCTGACTCAATTAAATTTTGCCATGATGGCTCTGGCATGGCACAGGTGGACAACTAAGATGCAGACTTTTGTCAACCTGTAGCAGATTATTATCAAGGATTTTAAAAGCCAAAAAGTCAGCAATGGCTTCATAATTAAATGGAACAGTGACAAACCAGAGAGACATTTCACCAACAAGTTCATTGTCCCGTTTAGTTTGTTTTTATTGTTTGTCTGATAGACCGAAAACGGTCACCATTAAATTTAAATGTTTGTTTTTTCCTCACTATTTATTAACTTTTTACTGGTTCCAAAATCGTGATTATTTACAAAGCAATGCGCCTAAGTAAAGGTGAATCAAGACACTATATTTTCTTTTTCTTATATTATACTTTTGGGTGCCTTGTGGTTCCTACCATTTCTTTCTTTTTTATTTCTTTATCGGTAACCTGCCAAAGCCCAAAGGCACTTAACATGATTAGTCAGGCTCAGGCATCATACTAAAGCATGAGATCTATTTTAATTAACCCGTGGTGGGCCCCAAGGTGACTGCACATCATCATCATCTATGTTGCACGCTTGAACCTTGAACCCCATTTTGATTTAATCATGCCAATCACAATTAAATCATGGATGGTGAAGTGTGCATCATTGAAGAGATCGAATATGCTAAAATATTTTGATAGTTAGTCTTTCAATCTAGGGAGCTATATGTGGGAGTGTGCTATAGTTTTTCACCTCACATTTATACTAAAGAGTTCAAGTTAATGTTATGTTCTAGTCTTTTGTAATGTTCTATTTCTGAATGATGGAACTTGTCTCGACCAAAAAGAGTTCAAATTTTACTTTGATATCCCTCGTTTGAATAAGATAAAATATCTAGACAACTAAATATAAAATGATATTTTTCAAACATCCGTTACTTTAATTTTTATTGAGCGGAAGAGTCGAGACAATCTCAATTTTACTTATTTGTTCTCAGATTTGATTCAACTTATTGACATAATTGTTTATTTAGGATACAAAATAACCCTTTAGAGTTTATACAATTAACGTAATATGAGATTACAACCCAAAATTTAAGCTCTAAAGAGTGATGTTACACCCTAAAGAATCAACCATGTTAATAAATCAAATCAACACTAAAGAAAATTGAGTAAAATAAATAAGTTCTCAGCACGTTGTTTAAAGAACAAAAGTCATGCACGGAGAAGAAACTACTTAAATATCAATATACAATGTCTCATGCGAGTCTCTCTCTCTCTCTCTCTCTCTCTCTCTACAACCGCACATACATACTTATGAGATTAAGAACCATTATGAAGATTGTCCAGTAGGACAGGATTGAAGCGTGATCATAATAAATCCTAAATATTAGCCAGACATGACATATGCTTATAATTAGGAGGTGAATGTGGTAAAAGTGCATGCAGCTTGTAGGAGCTAGCTGAGAATTTCCCCAACTTTTGCTATGAATATAGGATGCACAACTAAAAGGGTATTATATATAATATTAGGAGGTCATCGTTATGGTTTTATAGCCACTCAACTGAATAGATCTCTGCCAAGGGACCAACATGCACCCAAAATACAAAAGTGCTAGCTTAGCTTAGGTCCTTAGCTTAGGTTAGGAGTTTTCCAAGTCCAAGAAGTAGAGGAGATGAATGAATGATCCTCTCTCTCTCTCTCTCTCTCTCTCTCTCTATCTCTCTCTCCATTAAATATTTTACAAATTTATAAATAAACCCAATCCTAGACATGTATTTATAAAAAAACCCAAGCACTATTTAAACATAGAAACACACCCAAAATCAACCCCAAAGTCAACTTTTTGGGTGTGTTTATAAATGGGTTTTGAGTGTGTGTAATGATGGGTTTTGGGTGTGTTTATATGTTTAAATAGTGCTTGGGTTTTTTTATAATTTCAACTCCCATTTTGGGTGTTTTAGTGAAACTCCCTAAATATTTTAGGGAAGGGAAGGTGAGAGGGAGGAGCGTATATATTATTGGTGCACCCACCAACACAAATGAGATATAGAATACAGAGAATGTAAGAAAGGCAGAATCTTGTTTGACTGAAAAGTGAATAACACTAGCATTATTTTCATGTACAGGGCCCATATCAGTTAACATCAACTCTCACGTGTCAGTACCACCGGTACAATTTCTAAATTATTTATTAGACTTTTAATTAGTATATAGTGCTCTCTCTCTCTCTCTCTATATATATATATATATATTTGTGTCTATATATGTGTGTGTGGAGAGAGATCGATAGACTTGTTAGAAGGCCTGCGACTTATTCAGCAAAAAGAATATATTGTAGTGATCAACCAACTTGTTTGCATCCCATATCCATCGGAGGTGAAGAAACTCTACAGCTAGCTTTAGTTAGAAAGTAGAAACTAGTATATTATAATTAATGGTTAAGTTCAAAAGGGTGTGTGTCTTCTGTGGAAGTAATTCAGGCCATAGAAAGATATTCAGTGATGCAGCTCTTCAACTTGGGACTCAACTGGTAATTCTGCTATTCTCTATTCTCTCTCTCTCTCTCTCTCTCTCTCTCTCTCTCTCTCTCTCTCAAATACACTCATGTGGCAAGTATATAAATACACACACAGGTTTAAATGAATTGGTCTTAGTTGTTTGTTATTGATATAACTTGAGGTTTGATTGCAATTAGCAAGGGAAATTAATGAAATTAAGTTTGATCAGGTGGAGAGGAAGATGGATTTGGTGTATGGAGGAGGAAGTGTAGGGCTGATGGGGTTGGTTTCACAAACAGTTTATGACGGTGGATGTCATGTTCTTGGGTAAGACTAATTAATTCAATGAGGCCCAGATCAAGTATATAATTAATAAACCTCAATCCTTACTTCCTTAATTATATGCTAATGCTATAGGTGCGTAGGACGAATCTGTGATTAATTAAGTGATTAATCTTACTAATTAATAATTTGGTTTTTGCTATAGAGTTATCCCAACAGCCCTTGTTCCACTTGAGGTACCAGCCATACATACTCTCCTTCTTCTAACCTTAATTCTGTTGTGTATTGCTAATTAACTATATTAATATATGCTAATTAATGAAGTAATTAAAATTCTGTGACTGATTTGATTAGATATCAGGCAATTCAGTAGGAGAAGTGTTGATTGTATCGGATATGCATGAAAGGAAGGCTGAGATGGCTCGTCAAGCCGATGCTTTCATTGCACTTCCTGGTATATATAATTAATATTTCAACTATTAAAAAACTAAATTAAAGTTACAAATGTATATAAGAGTTTTCTGTAAACATTGCTGATGTAGTTAAGTTTTTCTGCATGTATATACTATATATGATGCATTTTGATCCTTCTTAATTTTCTGGGCTTTTGGATAATCCATCCATATATATATATATATATATATATGAAGGTGGGTATGGAACCATGGAAGAGTTGCTTGAGATGATAACATGGTCTCAGCTTGGAATCCATGACAAACCAGTAAGCTTATTACTCTGTTTTTTTTTCCTTCTCTTATTCTCTGCATGTAAAAGAACAAGATGCATGCCGCATGCGCATGTAAGTTTAACAATTATTCATAAAATGCATGTTTCCTTGAAACATTTCAATCTGTCTATTAAAAGTTTTCAGTATTAGCAAGAACTGTAGGTCTTAGCATATAATTAATTGCTCGAGAGACTGGTTAGCTATAACCCTAGACCATAGGGACCCTTAATGATATTATTGTTTAGTCAATTTAGATCATGACCTTCGATACTGACTCAATCAATTAACAAATTTTCCACATCAGAATGATTATAACAAGACCATAAGATCCTTTACCATACGCATAAAATGAGTGAATGATGACGTTTTTATTAGAGTGCTCTTATTGTTTTATGTGTAATAAAAACAAATTAATAAAAATGAACTTTGACCTAGATTTCATTTAATCAATATTTCACTTCATTTTGATTTTCATGGGATTGCACCTAACGAGGTTGAATCGCAACTATTATACGATTGATAAAGTTTTATCCAGATGTTTGAATTGTATGCCTTTCGTTTTTTTGCTGCTTTATAGGCTTTTGAAGTATTTAAGAAGATTTTTCTTTATATATATATTTTTTTAAAAAAAAAATCAATTTCTACTTTTTTACAAGACAAGAAAAATATAAGATTCTCGACCCGACTCTTTAAATAAACTTTAAATACGTACAATCACCACAAACCGCACTCATTTCATGATTTTCTAATTTGGTTTCCTTCTTCATGGTTTTTATTATGTGATAACTTCCAGTTGGAAGTGAATTAAATTCAAACTATTTTGGGTATATTAACTTGCATTAATTTGGTTTCCTTCTTCATGGTTTTTATTAAAGCAAAGTCTTCTAGTGCGTGAGCTTTCAAACTTCTTAATTAAGCCATCCAAATTGAGTACCAACTACTCGGCTGTATTTGGTTATAAGTCAGATCGGGATGGCCCTGAATAAGACTTGGCAACAATTTATAGGCCCATAATTGAGGCTTACTCTTCCCCTTCTAAATTCGTTATTAGTACTGATAGTATGGTCCTCTTTGTCACACCAATCATTTCATAATCATTCTTGCACTTTCCACCCAAAAAATTATTCTTACACAAATTATGGGACAAGTAGAGTTGAAATAAAGTAAAATATTTTGATAAGGTCGCATACGTGGGCGATTTTTAATTGTTAATGAGATTCCGTGATATGAATTAACAGTCATAAATCATCAATAGTCTCGCACATAGGTGTTTAACCGTAGCATAACTTAGTGAGTAAGTCATGGCAAATGAAAATGACAATGAACCTTTTTCCAAATTTATGACATTTTAGTATTGTAACTTATGACGTTAACATGTTAACCAATTTTCCGAAAAAAGGACATCAACATATTAACCACTACCACATATTTTGGTTGCAAAATCAGGTGGGTCTCTTAAATATTGATGGGTATTATGATTGCTTGCTTCGTCTGTTTGACAAAGGCGTGGAAGAAGGATTTATTAATTTATCTGCAAGGAACATTGTCATATCTGCAAAAACTGCTCAAGAGCTGATACAGAGGATGGAGGTACTGATATACATATATACTCTCCTTTTATACTATTCCTTCCATATCAAAACTGCCCTGTTTATCTTGGTTTCATCATTTTTGTTTTGACTAGAAGGCATTTCATTGGTTTTTTTATTTATTTTTCCCCTGCAGGAATACATACCTTTGCATAATCAAGTGGCACCAACCCAAAGCTGGAATGTGGAAGAAAACCATGCAAATCATAAAAGGGCTTGATGCACTAATGAACTAAGACTGACTTGAAAAATGAATTGTTTAGATGAAAAGCAAGGGTCGAATTAATCATATATTTGACTTTCTATGGTCAAATTTGTCTTTCAGGATTATGCAATATATGGATTCGGCATACCAATTATGATTGTGAATGTAATTGATATAAGACTATTTTCCTTTCCCTCATGGTATATCTCTATTTTCAACTTTCTGAATGCAAGTATACAACAAAGAGAAAGCGAAAAGGAAAGCTGTGTCTGCATAAACAAAGTGTTTCTGGTTTTCAAACTTGATGAACAATGTTTGAGCAAGGGAAAAGAGCAATTTTACAACTTCAGTTTTCCGGTACATAAGCAAAATCAAAGTGCATCTGCTGCCTTTCAAGATATTCCCCTCTAGAAAACTCTCCATGTGCATGTAGTTAAGGGATGAAATGATTCATTGCTAATAGATTGATGCATTTACAGCTTGATTCAGTCCATATGCATCAAACTACCAACTGTTTAAGCATTTTGCAAAACTAGTCGCCAATGATGACTTTCAGGAATGATACGGTATTTGAAGAGAAAGCAGAGCATTATAAATCTATACTAGGCATTTCCTGAGTAATACCAACGCAAAAAGTTCAAAGATAAGTGTCATATGTGAGGCACACAACTCATTCTCTGCAGTTCCAGAGAAATTTAAATATGTTGTATCCACTTAGGCCTCCACTCATGCGCAAATAATTGTGTCACATGTGAAGGAAAATCAAAGAGAAAAGATAATGGCAGGTAATTTATATTCGGGAAGATGGACATTATACTAGAGCTCGTAAGAGATAAATTGATGTGGATGTCGAAATGAGTTGAATCTATAGTACAATACAGGCTTTGAATTTCCAACCATTAATACAATAAAAGAACAAGCAAATACAACGATAAGCCTGACCTGAATTCCACAGTATCACTCAGAAATGTGAATCAAAATATGAAATAAGCAACTAGAGGTCTCTCCAACCTGGTCAGCATGTGTTGATTCCATCCTTGCAATCTCCGGTTAAATTATAGAATGTTTCCACACGCGTCTTTGCCCTGTAAAGGACCTCAGTATCCACTTCAACCCTCATGTACCCGTCAAACTCAACTGGTCGTCCATCGTTTAAAATCCTAGTCTCATTGTACCACTCACTTGTATTACTCCACAGTTCTTTGTAATCATCAAGCAAATGAACCTTGTACTGAGACCTCAGTTTATCAAAGTAATTGTAGAACGGTTCATTAGTGGCTATATACAGATTCCTCCAAGGCTGAACCATCCTCTTTACCTTCTCAAGAAGCATGTCAGGGGATGTATCATAATCCAAATGAGGCCAAAGGTCCTTATTTTGTGCCTTCTCTCCTCGCACAACATGAACAGCATCAAAATCCCAGTCCATTCGCCCGCTGATCTCTGTAACAATATTCATCAATCTCTTTGATTTCCAAAGAGCGTGCCATGGCCTCTGTACGTACTTAGCAGCTTGTCCTTCACACACCCTGTACCAGTAATTTTCTGGCTCCGGACCATCAAACTGCCTCCATATAACCGTGCTCTTTTCTTTCTTGAGTTGCATTGGTGTGATCTTATGGCTCGCAACCTTCTTAACTGGCACTTTCCTCTTATGGCTCCGATCCCACTTCTTCCAATCTCTCAAAAATTCACCCTCCTCCACAATTGAGGCACTCTCCTTAAGATGCTCAAAATCAAAGTAATATCGAAAATCTTTCCCTTCCTTATCTTTATTACTCGGAGTATAACTCGCTGCCAAGCATACACTCAGATCCATCACAAATGTCCTGTTCAAAAACATAGCCTCACCTAAACCACACAAGAAACTCCATTGGTATTGGTTCATTCCTTTGCAATAATCCCCTCCACGTGAATAGTACAAGTACTTACCCTTCCTAAAATTCGTATCCGATCCCAAGCTTGGGATTGTATCATTAATCTGTTCGTCACGAACTGATGGGGCTATTTTAGCACCCCTAGTGCTATTACTAATCCTCCTCGGCCTTCGAGCATTAATACCCGAATGCCACCCTCCGGCATGGACCACCTTATAGGTACAATTCACTCCAAATCCAAGCTTAAACCTCCTAAAATCCCTATACTTCCTCCAAGACTTCTCCTTCTTGTTCCTAAACCTCCACAACACATCACACTCGTCCGGTTTCGACCCATTAACCGGTGTCTGATACTCCAAGAACACAATGGACTTAAAGAGCCTCAAATTAAACCTCTCCACCGCAATCAAAGCTCGAGGGTCCGAGCAATTCACTCTCTCCAAATCCTCACAATTCAATTGGGGTGGGGTAGAGTTGGTAATATTGGCTTCTGATTTCTCAATCACCGCCTCGGTGATGCGGTCCTCCGAAGCCGGAGGCACGGCAGGGGCAAGTAAATCCTCACCAGTCTTGAGGATAGAATTGTCATTCTTGAAAGTGGCATTCTCAGACTCAGTGAAGAGTTTTGTTAAGGCTGGAGCTGACTCCAGCCATGGATCTGGGGGTTGGTAGGTGATGGCAATCACAGTGATTATAAGCACTGAGAACACAAACACTGAGAAGCAGAGATTGCTTATGAGCTTTATCAGGTTTTGCCCAATGGGCTCAGTGGCCCGATTTGATTCTTTCATAAGTTTTGAAGAAAACTCAGGTAGTAAAACCAATCAGATCTTGGAGTGCACGAACTAAATTTTGGTCGGTATTGAGAGAAAGTAGAAGAAAATGAAGGAACTTGAGTGGAAATGAATGGGAAAGTACAGAAATTTACTTACATGAGATGTGAAACTGGAGCTGTGGAGGGTTGGTTGATGGAGATCTGCTGAGGGAGGCTTGTGGAAGGAAATGTGACTTGGGTTTTACTGGTTTGTTTACTTTAGTTTCGAGGACGGTGGTTTGTATGTTAATGTCAAGTGTGGAAGAGCTTCTGCTACAAGCGACGGGAGCTTTTGGTTGGGTGGATTGTCTTTGACTCTTTGTGAAATTGTCACTTGGACTGCTTTGCAATGCCACATCACTCGTCAGTAAATCAAAATTTGTTGGAGCCCAAATTATACTATTTGGGCCTAATTTGAACAAGTGGATATGGTGCTTCTACAAACAATGTGATAAAATAAAAGCCAATGGGAGTGTGGGGAGATGTAAATTCGGGAGTGTGAATTCATTTTTACATATCCTCTCATGTAAATAATGTTTTTGCTCTAATGGGTGGATATAAATCCAATTTTGTTTGTATTAATATGTTTTTGTGTTAATTTTTGCAAAAGATTTGGCTCCTTTCAAAATAAATGGGATTTTGACACTTGTCAATTTCATTTATCTTTATCTTTTTCTGAAATTCTTTTAATTTTCTTTGTTTTGGAATTTGACCATTTGCTTTGAGGAGCTAAAAAGCCATTAGGGGATCGTTTGATGTGGAGGTAAAAACAATGGGGTACTGTCAATTTGTGATGTTAATAATTATCAAGATGGATGGTGACAAATTTTTGTTTTGGTACATACAGAGCATCTATGTTTCGTGTCAACATTAAGGAACTGTGGTGCTGGACAAAAACTTGTATGAAACGGGTTCTTACTCACTCTCTCTATCTCTCTCGTCACGTTGTGACTAAATTTTTCTCATGCTTCTGAGCTAGAGACAAACACAACTACCTCTTCCTCTCCGCACCCTTTCTTTCAATTTCTAATGCAAAGAAATAATCTTCACATGATACTCTTTTTATTTTACAAACTTATATTAATGTATATCATAGTTATGAAACCTTGACATGTATATCATAGTTACATTACCCCATTGGGTGTTTAATGTTTTCATTATATCTAAACAGTGAGTGAACTTGAATCTCAGCGAAGAGCATGGTTGTAGTCGTGGAAGTGAAACTGTTTGTAGATAAAGTGAGCCAACCATTTTGAAGCTGCAAAGGATAGTATAGCCATTGCAACTAGCGTAGTTCTTGCAGCCACTGATAACGCAGCCTGCTTGGTTGCAGCAACAATTCCAACTAAAGAAAAAGAGACGACCTGCAACACAACTTCCAGCACCCTCAGACCTTTGTGTGCTGCACTGCAACTGCTGCAGCTCACCACATGGGACCAGTACCTGAGAAGGTTGTGCAAAACCTCCCTTATCATTCAACGATATGACTTTTAACACACTCCAAGTTAGTTCTAAGGATCCCAACACAACCAAATAAAACAAATGCTTGTGTCCAACAATGTATGTGGCAAAATGGCAAGACAAACGGCAAATTTTTAATCAATGTGCCAGAAATTCCTATATCATTTGATTACCTGAAAATGCCAAGAATAAACTGAAAGAGATTGATTTCAAAGTATTTTAGCTGGTTCAGTTTGTAAAACTTGTCAACTAATAGAAAAGTTGTTTCCACATAAGCTTTCACTACTTTAATAGAGTTAACATTATCGCAACACCACCAATTTTTAGCATTTCCAAGACCTCTGTAAGGATCTGCTATCAAAATTTGACAGGCAAGGAGTTAAATGGTTCCAATTTTCTGAAACTAAGAAGTAAACAACAAAAGTTCGAATCCTCTTTCATAGTTGTATGTAAGTTACCTGTCCAACAACTGTTCTCTTGGGGGAGTGGGGGGAAGAGCCCCACTGAACTTGCCTCTCCAATCTACCTGACCACCAGCATACTTGATTAACCATTTTCTGAAACCAACCACAAGGGCATCCGACTTTGTAGGCACAAAACATGCTTTCTGCCACTGGCTGGGGCCAGCATCCATTATCTTACGTTCCTGTAGGAAGAACTCAAGAGTCATACAAGACCACATGCATTAAAATATTGACCTAAGACTATTTCCATGATCATGTGGTTGCACATAGTAACTCCATAGGGTGTTTCTCTTATTGTTTCTAAAACTTGATACCAAAAGCATTACTTTCAGGGGTGTGTGTTTGGGATGTTGTGGGGGGTAAAATAGATCCACTTGACAATTGCCAGGTTTTCTCATTCATTGCCCATCTAGCAACGAGTTTAACGTTTTGCGAGAAAAAGCCAGACCATGGTCTTTGTCAACTGAAAAAGTGATGTCTTGCATATTCAGCAAGTGAGATGCAAGATAATTCCTAAACTTCAATTCATACAACAGAGAGTTAGAACTCACCTCAACATGAAGAAGATACAAATCTGAGTCC